CACAGATTATAATGCAATGCAAAACACCGGTTCATCTGATTCTGGGGGAGTGACACAGAAAATCACAGAATATCCTGAGCCAGAGGGACACCCAAGGACCATCCAGTCTCACCCCTGCACAGGACACCCCAACAACCCCACCCTGTCCCTCAGAGCGTTGTCCAAACCCTCCTGCAGCTCTGGCAGCCTTGGGGCTGTGCCCACTGCCCTGGGGAGCCTGTTCAGTGCCAACCACCCTCTGGGGGAAGAACCTTTCCCCGAGATCCAACCTGAGCCTGCCCTGACACAGCTCCACTTGTCAGACAGAAGGACATCATGCCCCAAACAGGTGCCCATGTGCACACACACAAGGGTTTAGTACCAAGTGTAAAGTTGGGAAAAACAAGATCAAGAAATTCAAGTTTATACTGAGAAATAGTAAAGAAACACAGCTCAGTAGCACTGCTGGGGAAAAAAAATCTACTTGTGTGGGCAAAGAGGACTGAAAATCACAGAAGCAAAGAATAGTCTGGGTTCAATGGGCAGGGGATCATGTGAGGGGTCCCTTCTCTGCCCTGGTTTGAAGGTTCTGTCCCTGAGCACAGCCAGCCCCTGCAGTGATGCCAGCCCAGCTCACACAGATGTTCTGCCCTTGCGTAAGAGGCATCTGCAGGATCACAGAGACTGAGAAATGACAGAAATGAATATTTCAGAAAAGTCCTCAGTGAAAGAAGGAGAAAAGAAGATAAAGTGACTGTCACAAGTGTTGTGCTCTCTGTGCTCAGGTGGCTTAGGGCTGATTCTCCCTCCTGCTCTGCCGAGGCTCTTACGAACGAACGGCACCGACTGAAAGCCTTCAGAAGAAACTTCAGCCCAAGAGTCACATCAGCAGAGTGGCACGAGGGCTGCAACCCCCTTTTATCCCATCTTTAGCACTCAGAGAAAGGTGCCAAGCTTTGCCAGAATCTTTCTGCTCCAGCCCTGCCAAAAGGCTGAGAAGATGGTCATCCCAGCTTGGAGATGGAGCCGCTGGCTCAGGGACAGCTGCTGAGCACACACACGGTGACAAAACCAGCTCTGGCTTGTGCAAACAAACCTGTGCTCAGAGCCAGCCTTGCTGAGCAGCAGCACCCCTTTCTGAGATCAGCCTGGCTGAGGGAGCTGTGGGAAGGCAGAGGGAAGGGGTGAAGGTGGCAGACACAGCCGTGCAGCTCTGGGCATCCCCCTCCTGCAGCCCGTGGGGTGAGGGAGCACCAAGAGCTGCTCAGAGCACAGCTCGAGTGTGAAAATGGGCCACTGGGGGAGAGAGGACAGAAATAAACGCACTCCAGATCTTCCATTTATCTGTTAGGAGGCATTCAAGTGGTCTTTTGCTAACAACTTCAATATATATATTTCTTACAGATAGCAATTAACCTTCTGGTACAGATTAATCTTTTTAAAAAAATCAAAGATGAATTAATCTTTGAAATTCAAGTATTCAGTAGTTTCATTAATAATCTGAAATTGTCCTTTAGGTTTTCCATAATTAGACCATTCCCCTAATTTATTAATCCCACAGACTGCAGAGCATGTTTCAAATCTTCATCTCCTGCCACAATGACATATTCAAACTCGCTTGAAGTGCTCATAATAAAAGTCACTTTGTGAAGAATTATTAACTCAGAGAATCAAGCAAAGTCTTTATATGCTAAAGCATATTTGAAAACTAAGCAGGGGTAGCACTTTCTACTCATCCTCAGATTTCCTAAGATCCTGGCTGATCAGAAACAAGTTGGGATAAAACACTGAATTTAGATAATTAACTCGCTACAGACTCGAGGCCAGGGATAATAAATGTGCTGGTACCTATGGACTAAAGCTTCCCTTCTGCCTAAAGAACCTCATTATGAGCTACAAGACAATTGCCTGGGAGCTGATGACGCCTGTGCTCTGTGGTGTGCCTCAAATTCGGGACCAAATACCTCCCCCCCAGGGCTTCTCCTGGCAGAGGCCCCTGGTCCTATGGGATCATGTAGGGAGGACTGACACAGGGAGCTCTGCTCCGGCCTCTCCCAACTCTGCTCCAGCCTCTCCCAACTCTGCTCCAGCCTCTCCCAACTCTGCTCCAGCCTCTCCCAACTCTGCTCCGGCCTCTCCCAACTCTGCTCCGGCCTCTCCCAACTCTGCTCCGGCCTCTCCCAACTCTGCTCCGGCCTCTCCCAACTTTGCTCCTCATGTCCTCAAGTGCCATATCCAAAGGTTTTTGAACACCTCCAGGGCTGGTGACTCCACACTGCCCTGGGCAGCTGTGCCAGGGCTGGGCAGCTGTGCCAGGGCTGGGCAGCTGTGCCCGGGCTGGGCAACACTTTCTGTGAAGAGACTTTGATGAATATCCCCTCTGCCCCTCCCCTGGTGCCCCCTGAGGCCGTTCCCTCTCCTCCTGCCCCTCATTCCCTGGGAGCAGAGCCCGACCCCCCTGACTGCACCCTCCTGTCAGGGAGTTGTGAGAGCAATAGCACAGCTCCTGATGAGCATCACAAGTTTTCAGTTACTTGAAAATGAGGTAAACCACCACCTAAACCCCTCTCCTGCCCTCCATCCTCCCCCTATCCCTTCAGGGCATTAATCCATTAATCCATGGCAGCAGCAGGAGCACCACGAGCGTGCCCCATCCCTCCCTCCCTCCCACCCTGCCAGTGTCCCAGGAGCACAGCTCACATCAGTCACCCTGCTTTGGAAGGACACTGCACAGTTACACACCTCACTCAGGCCACCTGCATTGGGACCCCTTTAAATATGTTTAAGGTTTGAAGAGCAAATGATCTCGGTGACACTTCTCCATTTTCTGAAAGCCCTGTCCCCTCTGCTCAATTCACACACTCCCAGCAGCTCTTGACCCCTCACATGTCTCTAACAGAGATCTAAGAGCTGCTAAAGACCCCCCACAGCCATGAGGCAGGGAAATGAGCGCTGCTCATTGCTCCTTCAGCAGGTTCCTTCCAAACCCTGCTGTCCCAGCAATCCCACACCAATGTCCCCAAGGAGACACAGCCACCTCAGGCCCTGGGAAAACAACCCAAAATGTGACCCCCTCCACACCATCTCCCCCAGGAGAGGACATGGCCACATGAACCCCCAAGGCAGCACCTGGGAGAGGGTCACAACTCATCCCCAAAGCCAGGGGACAAGGTGCCATTGTTCCCCAGGGATCCAAGGTCAGGACCTGCATCTCCAGGCAGCGCTGCTCCATTCAACCTCCAGACAACAGGATCCTCTTACATTCCCAGGGTTTTACAGCCCCAGGGAACTTGTTGACAGGTACTAAATCCCCTCAGAACTTCACCTGAGCTTTATCTGTGAGACACAAGAAGTTCAGCACAGCCCTAAGAAGCAGCAGCAGCAGCGCTGGGGATCGGATTATTGGTGTTCCAGTGCCTGTGGAAGCTGATGCACTATCCCTGTTAGTGCCTTCATCTCCCAGGCACGACCCACATCCCCCTGCATGAGAGCTGCTGTCAGCAGGCTGCTGGTTTGGGTTTGGGCTTTGTTTTTTATGAGGGATGCTGAATTACATGTTGACTACACGAACAGCTCGCACAACAAATTTAATTCTCCAGAAGGTCTATAAAATGGGACAACATTCTTCACTGGAGCTTGTCCTTGACACAGAGAACATATTTTGGGGATGATTTTGCGACAGTGGGTATTTGCAAATAAAGCCAATTTTAAATTATAATGAACTCTGGCATTTGTCACTTCCTGCTGTATTAAATCCAACCCCATTTTCTTTAATACCACATAAATATGCATTTGTAAGAACAGACATATTTATGCAAATGCAGGTCCCTCCCGAGATATCAACAGAAGGAAACAGTTTCAGATCCCACTGTCCAAAGCCCCTTTCTTTCAAGCACAGGCTCCTTCTCTGCTTGCTGTGGGATGATGCTGCCAGGAGGGATCCAGCAGCTCCCCGAGGAATTTGGGAGTGAGATGGTGCTTCTGCAGGCAGAGCTGCTGCTGATCCAGCCTTGGAACAGCCCTGGGGATGAAAACCTCCAGTGGCTCCTGCAGAGCAATTCCTGCACTGCCACATCCCCTCAGCTGTGCTGGTTTATTTACGGGGGGGACTGTGCTGGTTTTATTTAAGGCAGTGCCAGGGCAGGTCCAGGGTGGGAGATCTGAGTTCATTCTGGGAATACAACACAGCTCATTCTTGTACAACAACGCTGTGTTCCCCATCAGGCTCTACCACTGCACTTATCACCAATAATGAATTACATCATCTGCTTATTTTTCCTTCCCAGCACAGGGTTCAACTCGAAACATCCCAATTTCCAAACCCTTCCGATTCTGGATTGCAAATCAGCCTGCCAAGGATTTATACCTCTATTCCCCACAGAGCCATCTGAAGTCCTCCTACATTCTGGTGCCTCTGGGGAAATTCAGAGCTCTTTACCCTGAAGAACAAGTTACAGGGACAAGGGGATGAGCACACGGCAGTCACACCTTCAGCACAGGCCCCCTTCTAGGTTTTGAAGCAGAAGAGGAAAGCAAGCTGCAGAACTGGAGGGAAAGGTTAGGAACTGTCTCAGCTGAACTGCCCAGAGAAAAAGTAAAGCAAAGCTACACCAACCAGGCTGAGATGTGGGAGCTGAACAAACCGTGGGACACAGCTCAGTGCCAGGTACAGCAGGGCACAGCCCCGAGCTGTGCTGAGAGAAAAGCTCAGCTTCCAAACCTCCCTCCTACCATGTCAACACAACAGGATGCCCTCCAGGGCAACAGCAGCAGCTTGATAAAACTCAAGGTTTTCTGTTTTTCTCCCAGAAACGACTGAAAGCCACTGAGGTTTCAAAATCTGAAACTCCGTAAGCAATTTAGGAATGAGAGTATCTTGGAGCCACTGCAGAGCATTGCAAAGAACTGAAGCAACCTTAGAATCAAATGTTTAAGTTCTAGAAAAATAATATCACATTTGGTACAAAATAACATTCATCACTTCCACAGCATTTTCTGGAGGGGGGACGGGTGTTGCCTACCTGCCTCTCTGGAAATTTGCATGAAGGACTCCACTCCTTTTTCTCCATAATTCCCTTCAGATGCCAAAGTGGATACATAATTCCATCCCAAAGCTTTCACAATGTCCACCATTGCTTGTGCTTGGAAGGAATCTGGAGGAACCACCCGTGAGAAGAAATCATAGCGCCTGTCATCACTCAACTCTGGTGCAGTTGAGGCATAACTGATTTGTGGGATCTGTAGAAAAAAATAATTTCTGATAAATATACATGTTCATACACTCATGGCACTTCTTGCAGCAGTCAGCTGAAGCTGTTGGCTCCAGCTGAGCTTTGCCTTCACTGTTTCCATCTCTATTTCTCCTTACAACGTACAAGCCAAAGAAACAATCTTTTAATTGACTTCCAGTTACACAAATAAAATGGTTAAACAATTGAAGACAACTGTATATGTGCACATCCATAATGTCTCCCTTTCAGGCAGTCTAACCCCAGCACAGCACACAAAACCATTTTAATCACTATGGTCCTTTTGTTGGTGTCCTGCTTTTAGCAGCATCAGGTGATTTGGGACCCTGAATG